AAAGTGGCAAAAGGTCGTTTATAGGATTTCCTAATTTCTCAATCATTTATGCGTATTCTCAGTGATCAAACAGGCAATAAATCAACACGACTAGAATCCGAAAGACATCCTACAATTCACATTGTCTGGATCAACTTAACACTGCATCATCAATGACCAACACGACTTCCATCGTATGCAAACCGTATACAGATGTTTGACAATCACACAGCTAAGACTGCTCGGCTTTTCGCTACAGTCAATGCCAGCAACACAATCTTAATAAAATTAGACAATCCACGAACAAATGCATAACTCGTAAAATTGACTAAATCATTAAAATTATTGGACCAGAAAGGACTAGAGGAGACTTCAGATAGATTTTGAGGCGCCGGCATGCAACTCAGATTCAAGATCCTAAACCCACCAAATTAATCCCAATAAAAAAAAAACCTAATTGAGCACACAGAAACACTAAAAATAAATAAATCAAAATTCGCAACAAAAACGCAAGATTTCAGCATACAAACTCCGACCAGTCAACCTCACACAAAATTAGCTCAAAATTAAACATCTAATCCCCAAATTAACAAAAAAAGACAAAATCTTGCGAGAGATCCAGCTGAAGTCCGTACAATAATCGGATAAACAAACACAAAAACGATCCGAAAATTAAAAAAATCAAAATACAATGATTACCTCCGAAAAAACTACAATCCATCAATCAAGAGCACGAACACTCACAGTGACGACCCCTCTCTCTCTCTCTCCGATGATAGTTGAACCGTCTCTGAGCTCAAAGACCCTCACTTTTTTCTACAATTTTCTTCTTTTCATTTGTATTGTAAGAAGATTTGGGCGTCTCTGATTTTACGTCCCTCTCAGCACAGTTAAACGATTATTTAATATGCACGGCAGACAAAAAACCAAAAAAACATTTACAAACAAATGAAAGAAGGAGAGCCACGCGTCTTTATGGAGCGTGTAGGACACATGCCAGTTGGAGCCGGAATGGATATTCCCGTGGGCGTACCCAGGTGTGAACTCGGTCACATTTGATATGACCCAATTCGGTGGATTAAATATCAAGTATTCAACACAAAGATATTTGTTTCAATGCTAATGTGTCAATCTAATGAGTAAATTTTACTTATAGGTTAAGGAAAGGGAATCTGAAGACACAGATTTTTTTTTTTTCTTTCTTTCCAACGAGTTCACCCAAAGGAAAAAGAATAGGCGATCTCAAATTTTAGGATACAAAGTCAATCTCAACTTCTATGTTATTTTTTCTCATTGAATTTCATAACCGTCTATTAATATTTCTTTCAAATTCTTCCATTTAATCATAAAAAATTTGCATAACTAAATCATACGTCTAAAAATTTAGGGATATTACATTCGACCCTCTTTAACATAAATCTCGTCCTAGAGATTTCCAATTAGTAAATAATGGAAGAGATGTAAAACCAATCCCACCATTCCATTTATATTGAACGAAATCAAAATCTTACTGTATGATTTCATTCTTATCCGAAAATTAACCAATAAATAATCATCACAGGCTTCCCACATATTATAACTTCCAATCACGATCAATGGCAATACCAATAAGCATCATTGGCTATACAAAGATGTGAGCACGATTCTTCTCTCAAAACTCCTGTATACAATAATCCAACTTGATGACTGGTCTCGCGGCCGATTACCCTCACTGCAATTTCACAACAATGCGAAGTAGGGTGACGAGAGTGTCCATTTACTTCCTACATCACATATCCAAGCACTCTCCCTAAGGACTACGGGTACATGTCCGTTTGTGTAGGCCTCCAGAGGTTTAGGGGATTGAAACCCCAAGGTAGCGCACGATGCCCTTCAATCCTAGTGCCACTCAATCTAGGAGTGTCCATTTCACTAGCTATACCATATAGACTATCTCGCAGTAGTAGCCTGTCCGTATAACACCCTCTGAAGGTTTAGGGGATCGAAACCCAAGGGAACCACACAATCCCCTTCACTCTCAAGTCTTCAAAATAATTCATGTGAATGCACCTTCATTCATAAGACTCATGCAATGGTTCAATATCACTGCAAGTCATATTTCACACCAAAAAGAGTGGAGACAGAGCAAGTAGTTTAGCTAAAGTTTAGAGAGGATAGAGACTAGATTAACACACAACACTAGCTACTCATACATGCAATTTCCCAATTCACTCCACAGTTTGATTTTAACCCAAAGCTGTGAACATATCAATGATCTTCCTTGTTAAACGCATTGCACATGAAATATGTGAGTAGCCCCATATACAATTCTTGTCAAACGCCAATGTCATAAAAGAGGAAAAATGTCCTAATAAGCTGAAATTATATAGCACACATAATCTCTACTAATTAATGAAACTTTATTTGTCAACCAAAAGAGGGTGAAAAGACAAACTAGTCTTCTATCACACAAAAAAAAAATGATGGGCAATAATGTGATTTCACAAGTCCAAATTTTATTGAAATCTCACCTATAGGTGATGTTAAAATACCTTCAATATTAAAAATAAAAAATAACCAAAAGAAAAAACCTCCCACTCCCCCCCCCCCACGTCCTCTCTTTCTCCTTATCTCCTTCTCATTTTCTAAAAAAATGTGTTTATACACACAAAGTGTGTAAGCAAATGCTAATAACTATAAATAAAATCCTTGTAATCACACATTGTAACTAGAGTTTCCGGTAACTTGGAACTACCTATAATAACCAATGACTTAACCAATGTAGCAATTCATATTAGAAATAGAATAGATAAATTCTTCAAATACAAAAGTCACAAATAATCTCACAATCTATAAAAATAGCTTTTAAAAATTTACCTTAAATTGTAATGCTCAGCTCCATAACATTGTAGCTGAAAACGATTGCCAAAACTTTGTAGCTCAAAATGATTCATGAATAAAAATTTACACCAAAACTTAAGATTTTTGGGAAAAGGTTTTTCAGTGGAACAACTATTTTCTGCTTTTTGAGCAACAAACCAACGAAGAACTCAAGAATATAGCATATTGTAGAGTAGAATTGTTTGCTCTGATACCACTTGTAACGCCCAAAAAATAAAATTTATTTGGAAGCTAATCACGGTTAGGCTCAAAATAAAATTATAGTTAATCAATATTCTAATAACCACCATAAATCAAATTTGATCATTTTATGGTTGTATCTAATTTTCTTGTTAGACTGCCTACGTATCCTCAAATGGGATCAAGTCAATCGTAGTTCACGACCTTATTTAAACAGCGTAACACTACATAAGAAACAATACCTTCTTGGCTAGAAATTTCAACAATTACATGAAAATAGGACTTACCTCAAAGGATTTTAACTGTATCTTTGGTCACCAGTTTAATTAGTTGTCCTTTCAATTCACTCAACCAATCAACGATATGTATACTGTATGTGAAAATTGTCTATATATATATATATATATTCATACCCACATATATGCATACACATAGGAGTTGAGATTGACTTTGTACCCTAAAGTTTGAGCTTATACCATCAAGGGCAAGTGTACTGCAACTTTGGCCAAAGTAAGGGTATTGTACATACCTCTTAGCCTCACTTTCTACCCATGTGTTATTGTGTTTGTATATATTTGCAAGGATTTGTGAATAGGATTTGGGTCTGATGACTATCTTTTGAATCTATGTCTTTGGTAAAGAAATCTGGATGTGGTGTGCTTCTTGATGTGGGTTTGGTACATTTGTGCTGTGATGTCTTGTTTGTTTTCACCACTCGGCCATTTTCTCTAGTATTTTTTATTCGACTGCTGACAAGACTTTTATGGCAGTGATGGTGGCAGATGCTGCTTTTTGTGGTTAGAAATTAGAGATTTGGGTTTCCATTTTAGTTTATTTAATTGGGCTGGGCTTTTATGTATCTGTTCCCCCAATGTATTTTAGTTATTTTGCCTTCCCTTGTCTTGGCTTGTAACCTTTTATCAGATTAATTAAATTATTTTTTCATACCAAAAGAAAATATCACTAATTAAAATATTTCATTGGTTCAATCATCGTTTGGTATCGAAACACGTGAGTTGAACAGCGAACATCTCAATTATAAATACTGCTAGACAATAGTACCAGCGTTGAGTTTAACTGTAGTGAGAATATTTATCATTATGTTTAATACAATAGTTCGACTAAAAACATTTTTGGTAAAAATATTTTTGAAATTAATATTTAGTAACAACACAAGTGAATAATTTGGAATCTCAAAACATTTTATCTAAAAACGTTTTAAGTCATCTGAAAAGTATTTTCAAACAAGCTTTTCAATATCATATATCAATATATTAGAATATTTTAATTAACCATTCGTAAGAAATACATCCAAAATAGAAGCAGTGAGACATGTGAGATGATGGGTTGATTCAAAAAGAAGTGTACGAAGAAACAGTAGATTTGGCATTTTCTTACTTTATTTTGGATGAATGTTTAATTATGTAAGAGCTAGTTGCGAAATCCACCCCTTTAATTTTGGGTCACTTTTTAAAAGGTACCCAACCTTTTCCCTTCTTCAACAATTCAAACCACTTTTTTTTTTTTTCTTTTTCTTTTCCTACAAATCAAGCCACTTTAGTTCATACCGTTTGAGCCTACTCGTGCAACAAAGTGGGCCCCACACATGCTACGTAAGTAATTATCGAAAGACTGAAACGACCAGACGTTTATTGTCATGAATTGTTTTTCTTTCTTTTTATTCAACGATGAAAATTTTAATTAAATTTGAATGAAAACGTTTATATCAGAAGGCAAAGTATTAAACAACCATTCCGTCTCAAAACAGCCCCATCTATGAAGGTCACCCCCCTCGAAACAAAAAAGTCAATAGATGTGCTGCCCTATTACAATCCCGGAGAGCAAAAATAATTTTTACGGCCCTCAATTGCTGTCGCAAACACTGTACGTCGACCTTCAAGCATACATAAAAACATGTACGCATTCATTCATCGTATGAATGTCGAGTGAAGGGAGAGACAGAACCAAATGAATTTGCATTTGCTATTCGACCCAATTAATATCCAAATGTTTTAGTTCAGAGATCCACTTTTGTGTATCTTGAGATACATAGGGATTAGATGCTACCACTTTCTCTTCCTCCTCCACATCGGTTGACACCACATAATCTAGTTTTACATCCCTCCCCAGGTTCGGCTGTCGATTAGGGTGCCTCACCTTCAGCGACAGAAGACGGGAAACCTCATGAAGCCCGCCCCACTTCTCCAATGCACGAGCAATGTCGTAGCGCCCTGTCAAATGTCATAGCAGAAACACAAGGGCTATGCCATGGTAAAACATCTAACCAAATATGAATATTTCATGCTTCTGTGTTCTGTCCCGTTTCTTACCTGCGCGTTCAAATGACTTTCTACTTGGCATGAAAGAAGGGTCCATTCCCCAACTCCTCTGAAACCGGTTAATCTGTATGCAAGGCGGAAATTTATTAATATCGAGGTTATAGCACAGGTTTTCCATCGATAACAAGAAATTTAGCACAATATGATTGATTACCGTGCCTATCACTTGAGGTTTGCTAGAAGTTGCAACATAAAAATCTTACCTCTTCCTGCATATTGTCAAGGCTGTCCCAGTAGCCCTTTGGTTTTCGGTTTTTGTAAGCAAGAGAGAGGTTCATCAATGATGCGATCCTTCTAAATCCGCCCATGCGTCTAATTGCTTTCTCAATATCTACCCTTCCATGTACACGAAGTTGCTTTCTCATGGGCATAAATCCTTCCTGCCCATGCTCTGAGATAAATTTCAGAAGCTCACTTTTCAAAACTTCAATATCCCTTTGCAAGCCTGGTACTCTCGGCCTTTTCCTAGATGAAGTTTGAGCATCAGTATCGGAAATCTGGTCAACTGTTGCGTTACTTTTTTCATCATCATGGCCAGTGCTACATGAAGCGGTTTCTTCCTCCGTATATATGTTTTCATCAGATGCTTTTGACGAGTGTGCCGCCTCCCCTTTTTCTACGTAATCCCGTATGGTACATAAATTTGAAGGGAGATCTTCATATATGACCTACAATGCCACAGATATGTGTCAATAGACTGTCCTTTTCAAGGCTCCACATGCAATTACAGATTAGAAATGGAATGCAGACTTGATTTCACAAGAGACAGTTAATCATTCCACCAATATCACCAACTACTTCTTCATATGAAATGCTCGTGAAATTAGTATTCTTTCCAGCCTCATGGCAAGCTATGAGGTATCTACACCGACAATGTTCTCAAAAGACTAATATTTGAAAGAAGTAGGCAACCAGAAGATAAACATTTAGCATACAGTCCATGGCAGTATAGGCATGATAACGTTGAGAAGTATTATTCCAACCTCTTCCATAATAGCTTCGGAAAGAAAAGTGTCTTTGCGCATTTTTGATTCCACAGAGTACTTTAACAGCGTGTGATGACTTCCTAGCTGCTCTAAAACCCATTTACCTCGAAATGAGTCAAAGTCCCCTTCAACCTGTTCAAAACTTATCTCCTCTTCAAGCTGCTCACACAGGTCTAGGACAACCCGTGCGTGAAGTACCATATAAAGTAATCCCTTGCATCCTTCCTGCATATTACCGGAAGGGTAAGTTGACTTTTGTATCACTTATAAGATGATCTCTGCCTTCGCATCACTTACAGTACTTAAAGTAAAAGACATGTTTTTAGCACCAAAATTTTAAGGATCAGAAAGTGCCTAACATAATCTGATCCCAAAATTAAATACCGACTATTTAGAAAACTTATGATCTTTATGAAAAGACTGCTAGTACCTGCAGAATGCGGACTTTGTTGTTTTCTCTTGATAATATCCTACTGATTGCCAAGTTTGGGACTATCCTGGAATTTGTAATTTCACAAGGAAAAAGAATCAGGTAGATGAAAGAATTTTAAGTAAATAAAATAGCGTGCCTTTCTTAGAAACTTGCCTGAGCACGAACTGCTAAAAGAACCTATGTACTCAAATGAAAAGTGAACAAGCATACTTACTCAGGAAGACTTTCATAAGCAGTCAAAACATTCCATACTTCACGAACAGGAGCTTTTACTGTTACGCTAGCAACAACACAGCGATGAACGCCTCCATTTTCCTTCAGCCAAAATCATTTTATCATCAGTTGCTAAACAGAAGAGTCCCTCTCTAGGACAGAAAGGCTTAGGTGAGAGTGTAGGGTCAATTGGTTACCAATAGACCATCAAATCTCCGAAGATGAACCTCATCCACCAAGAAAGGCTTATCAAGTCTGCACACTTTCCCAAAAACACCCCAGTTACTGTTCAACTCGGTTGAAGATGGGATCAATGGACCAGGAATAGAGCCAGGAATATTCTCTTTGAACTCATTAAGTGGATAATCCTTTTCACTCAAAGAACCGTCGATGTTTTTGGGGAGTGAACTAGTAGCAGCCATGGATGCGGTAGGCAAGGAACTTTCTGTCATTGTTATCTTCTGATCCCCTACAAAATTCTTTTCTGATCTGCAAGCCAAGGCCCGAAGATTCACCGGAAGATCTGATCTGATAATTCTCTCCAAGAAAATGGCGGGAAAGTTGAATCTTGGTATTACATTAAGTTCATATGATAAAATTGTTGATGATGACCTGCAATCATCAATGAGAAAATTAGAAAATAAAACGCAACTTCAATAGCTGATACAGCGAAGCAGGCAAAACGCAAGCACATTGTACAACCAGTTAAGATTACAAACCAAGTACTCTATCCTTACCTTGTCCCGCATCTAACGGCCCATTTGCCTTCGAACTTTTTGAAGTCTCCATCAACCATGGAAAAGTGGAGCTCACGATTATTATGACTCTGAAAAATGAACAAAAGTTTCAAATTACAAAGTGCAACGAAATGAAAGATGCAAACATAAGAACTTTAAAGCAACTCACTTTGCTTATTAAACAACACCATCAAACCCACATAACCATAAATTGAACCAAAAGGTAATCATTTTATCTTGGACAAGGCGATATTCTAAACTACTCTACCAGGAGGGGTTCAAACTCGGGTGCAAGGGAGCCAGTTGGACTAAATTGCATCTCGAAACAAACAACAGCATTAAGAATCCAAAAATTGGGTTCAATTTAGACACACTCACCAAGTTAGAAAATTCTTGAAGGTCCAAAACAACCCGAGCTTCGATATGCCAATACAGCGCCCTCTGCAAGCCTCTCTGCTCCAACCAAATACGCCCCGGATGCGGACATGGAATTCTCGCGCTGATATCAAACATTAAGCAAAAGGTCACTCATAAACTTAATAAAAATCAAATCTTTAAACCAAATTTTAAATTCGAAAAACTGAAGGCGTTAGTACCTGGAAACAAGATTGGGGATGAAGTCAGCGAGACGCTCGTAATCAGTAAGAGCATTCCAGACCGAATCGATATCGGCATTGACCAAAATATCGGCCTTGATTCGGCGCTCCCTCCACGAAATCAACTCCACTTCGCACTGCACCTTCCTCTCTCCTCCTCCTCCTTCCTCCTCCGCCTCTTCCGCGTTTCTGGGTTTCTTGTAAACTGTGCTGCTGCCATTCCTGGTGCCGCCGTTCGTGAATTGGTGGTACTGATTCCATCTGGGTCCGTCTGCTAGGGACGAAAATACCACGCACAAATTGTTGTTCGTGTTGGTGGTGGTGTGGGGAGTGTGGCATATTCTGTAAATTGGGGCGTGTTTGAGGGGTCTTTTGGGAGGGTGGAGTGGGGAGAGAGCTCCATGGTTAGGGTTTGAAGCTTTGCAGGCGATCATGGAGGTTGTGAGAGGGAGTGAGAAAGCAGAGAGTGAGATGGATAGCGAGAGAGTGGAAGGGTATTTTTGGATTTTCGACCGTTAATTGGTAACCACCAGTTTTTGGGTGGTGTCGTTTTCTGTGGACTTGAAATTGTGTGGTGGGAAATACGACTTGGCACTTTTGGCGGGTTGGGCTTGTAGCGCCAAACAAAAACCCAAACCTTTGACCCATTTGGTTTATTTATTTTATTTTAAAAATAATGAAAAAATAAATAAACATTTTTTTGGGGGAAAAACAGTCTTAGTTTGTTTATAAAATTAGCTAAGATGTCATCAACAAAATTAGCATCCTGAAATACTCTTCAACAGAATTTTCTTTATTGGGTCGTGCATTTAGTATGAAAGTTCAATTTTTAAGGCCAAAGCTTCAACAATGAGCACCTTGACAAGCACAAGAGGTTTAGATGTTTTTAGTAGGTAGTTTGTGTTAGGGCGATGTGTTGCTACACTTTAAGCCTTTAACAGTCGCTTTGTTGTTACGCTTTAACGGTTACTTTTGTTGTTGCTGAAATAGAAAGAAAGACGAATTCTTGACAAATGACAGTAACGACAAGTCTCGTTAACTTTGGTACCGTTTGGTACGTGGGACGAGACGGAACAGAGTGGGACAAGGCGTTCCGTCCCACGTTTGGTGCACCTAAAACGGGTGGAACGAGTTGTTCCACGGGACGAGTTTTGGGTGAATTTTTGTTCCACCTCACCCCCTGGAACGACTCGTTCCACAGATGTGGAACACAAAATTATAACCTCTCCGTCTCCTTCTTCTTCCTTCTTGTTTCCATTCGAGGGCATCTTTGCTCCCGCTCTGTTCCGTTCCGTCCCGTCCCGTCCCGTCCCATCCCATTCCGTTCCGTCCCGTCCCGTCCCGTCTGCATATCAAACGATACCTTTACGTTTTGGATTATTCGTGCTCTTTTCAGTGTACTTCCACACTCTGAAACAGATATGAATGCTGCACATCATAAATGTGATCCATGGCACTTTATAAATGTGATTAAGCGTATACGCAAACGCATTTCTACATTGAATATGAAAAATAGTTAAACAACGTAATAAGTGTCTGACAAACAATTAAGTGTGTAATATGACATTTTCTCAACACTTAAGTGTGTGTTTATGATTTTTAAAAATTGGGTGTGAACTATTGTATTTTAGTAGACAGTTTATTTGTTCTAATCCGTTGTTATTACGCTATAACGGTCATTCTTCTCGTTAAAGAACGGAGAAAGAAATCAAAATCTTGACAAGTGACAATAACGACAAGTTTTGTTTCACATTAAGTTTTAAATTATTCGCGCTCTTTTATTGTATTCTCATGCTTCATAATATAAATAAGTTGCACTTATTATAAATGCAATCTAGCACAAAATTTATATACCCTTACGTACTCAATTTCAAAAGTAGTTAGACGACATAACAAGCATTTCACAAACACTTAGTTTTGAAAACAAAAAAGGAAAATATCTATATTTGGATTTGTATGCATATCAGTAAACAAACACATGCATGGTGTTCCAAAAAATAAATAAATACATGCATAGCATATTTGAATGTCCAATTCCGTTGGACACAATTTTCATCCCTAAACTCGTCTTTTTTAAGGTTGTAAATTTCATTGGAAAAATAAGGAAGAAATACATTAATGCTTTTATTATTTTATATGAAAATGACAATGGTTTGGTGAAGATGAATTTCTATGAATTAATTGTCTTTGAAATTCTATTTATGTTTGAGGTTTAAAACAAAGACAGAACTGTTTAAGATAATGACAATAATTAGATATGATCTGTTGTAGTTTAAGAAAAATAGTGGAGTACAAACTTAGTAAGTAGTTTATGTAATATTATATGTTTATGTTACGCTGTCACAACTGCTCTTGTCGTTGTAAAAAGAAAAAAACAATATTTAACTTCACATTTACGACAAGTCTTGTTCACATTAAGTTTAAGATTTTTCGCGCCCTTTCAGTGTATTCCTACACTTCGAAACAAACACAAACAGTGCGCATCATGAATACGATCTAATGCATAACATAAATGTCATTCTACACCGAATCTTAAAAGTAATTAGACTACTAAACTAAGAAACAAGTGTTTTGCAAACACCTAATCGTGAGATGTGATTTGAAAACTAAAAAGGATAGTATCTATAATTGGATTTGTATCCAGATCAGTAAACAACCACGGGCATAGCATATTTGAAAGTCCAATTCCATTGGACAAATCTTCATCCCTAAACTTGTCCTTGTTAGTTTCCAAAATAATAATAATAATAATAATAATCCTTGTTATGTCCTTTAAAGGTTACAACAACCTAAATTTTCAATTGGAAAAACAAGGAAAAATAGTTTAATGATTTTCTATAAAAATTAAATCACAATGGTTTGGTGAAGTTAAATTTTAATACATTAAATCACAATGGTTTGGTGAATAAATCAAATTGTCTTTGAATTCTACCTATGTTTTAGGTTTAAGAGAAAGAAACAAATGTTTAATATAAATGACACGAATTGGGTACATATCAATTGTAACTAGATAGGGATACTAATTTAGTAAGTAGTTTTTGTTACTAAGATGTGATTTTTGTTACGCTATAACGGTCACTCTTGTCGTTATTAAAAGGAAAAAGAAGACAAACTCCAAGTAATTAACAATAACGACAAGTCTCGTTAACTTTAGGTTTTGAATTATTCGCACTCATTTAGTATGCTCCCGCGCTACAAAATATATAAGTGACACACATCATAACATACGACTTACAACATAATTTAGATGCACTTCAACACCGAATCTCCAAAGTAGTTTAAAAGGAAAAAGAAGACAAACTCCCAACAATTGACAATAATGACAAGTCGCATCAACTGTAAGTTTTGAATTATTTGTGCTCTTTTAGTGTATTCCCGTGCTCCAAAACAGATATAAGCGGCACACATCATAAATACGACTCACCACATAACGTAAACCCACTTCAACACCGAATCTCCAAAGTAGTTTAAACAACAAAGCAAGTCTCTCACAAACACTTAATTGTGTTGAATAAAAATAAAATCTATAATTGGATTTGTACCCAAATCAAGTAAAGAAGCACCTGCCTAATATAATTTGCAAGTCCAATTCCATTGTACACAGATGTTCATCCCTAAACCTTGTTTCTCTTTTGGTTCAATATCCCTAATCTTGTTTTTAGCTCCTCAAATAAGCACTACCAAATCCGAGTTACCAAACTTACGCTAAAGATTTCACCGAAAATACAGTAAACAAAAGCTGAGCAGAAAAGAAAAGGTACGAAAGAGAAAGCTGCAGACGAAGGAAGAAAAAGAAAGTTTTGGAAACAAGAAAACAGCCACTCCGTTCAAAAGAAACCAGCTAGCGAATTGATCATGAAAATGGAATAGAGAGAGAGTGAATGACATCCCTATCTCTCTCCTCTGTCTCTGTCTCTGTCTCTGTCTCTGTCTCTCTCTAAAAGCTATTACATAACACAGAAGAGGGTTGAGTTGTGGAGGTGTAATGGAGGGGAAGGAGAAAAGCAGAGAGGGCTGATGAGGGAAGGGGAGAGAAAAGGGGAAGAATATGGGCAGTGAGAGAAAGTTCTGAAGAGTCTCTGGATCCGCCACGTGGCGAGTTTTGAGTGGTGTTGAGCTTTCAACTAAATCAAATGGCAACAACATCACCAAACCAAAACCAAAAAACAAGAACAAGATGGGAAGAGGAGAGAGAAAGTACCCGCACTACTTTCTCTCTCTTTCTATCTCCAACTCTCTCTCTCTCTATCTCTCTCCTGCCATGTCAGAGTGTAACCCCGTCCCCATGACACCGGCGAATCCGTATTTGTATGCTTTCTCTCTCTAGAAAAAAAATTTGAGAAGGAAAATAAATAAGATTGGAAAAACCAAAAACTCTCTCTTTCCTCTCACCCTATTTATTTTCCTTTGTCTCCCTTTCGCTTTCTCTCTCTTTCTCGTATCTCCCACAGCCTTGCCTTCCATGCCCTAAACCTCCCCCCACCTCCCCAGCTCTTCCTTCCAATCCAGCTGCCTCATACTGCTGCTCCGTTTCTTGGGTTTTTGATCCATTACTTGATTGGTAAGCTTCTTAATTCATCTTGGCAGTCTTTATTTCTCTGTTTTTGTGCTCATTTCTTGGTTGGTTGTATCTGGGTTTTTTGAATTCGTGTGAGTAGGAACTTGCCCGTGTGTGTTTTTGTGCTGGTTTTGATGTGGGTTTTGTTTGATTGATGAAAGATTGTGTTTTTTGAGGTTTGATTGTGGTGGAAAATGGTGGGGTTTGTTTAGTGGAATCTTGGTTTTTGTAGAATTTAGATTGTGTAATAAGTTATTAATAGGTGTTGAAATGGGGTTTGTGTTTAGCTGCAGCTGAATGTGTTTGCATGTTTAAGTTTTTGTTGATTTGATTGTTAATTTTATGGTAGTTTGCGTTTGGCATTTGAAAGTGGTAGCTTGGAAAAGATGGTTGAATTGCTCGATTGTCGGTTGTATAGTGTGTTGTTTTTGCAGTAATGTTGCAGTATATATGCTAGTTTCTTCGACGTGTTTAGATTATCTTGTTATCCCATGCTGCTACAAAGTTGACGTTCGGCAATGTACCTTATAAATGTTAATCCAATATCATACTGAAGTGAATTATGCTTTTGTAGCAGGTGCTAAGGTTGAGTTGTTTGGGAGCTGTCACTGTGGCCCGTGGTAGCCGATAAAGAATTCATTTTTAAGAATTTAAATTTTCTTATCCCTGCTGAATCTAACAATTACTCTGGTAAGTCTCCTGTATCCATTATCCTTGATAGAGCTTCTGTAGTTTTTATATAACATACCTTTTCTCCTTATGTTAACATTTTTTGTTTGCGTTTGCGCTAATCTTATGCTTTTTTGCTTCAAACACTTTATTAAATTAGAGTTGTGTGCCAGTGTTTTTCTAGAAGCTGCAGTGGCCTAAGTATGCATGTAGAAGCTCTGATGTGCTGACTAATCCATTATTCCTGACGTGCTTGCT